GAGGTGACCCATGGAAGGAGTCAGTAACATACCACAGTGCCCTGGGAATCCTACATACCGTGGCTGCCAAACACGCAGCTGACTTGTTTGCCTTTGGCTGGATTCTGTGGTTGCAGTTTGTGTGTTGAAGTGCATATCATCACTGAATGGCCTCCAGAAAAAGAGGTGGCTTAGGTGATTTCTGTCTTCCTTCTTCCCATGACATATCTATTGCACAGCTGGGAAGCAGACTTCTGGCATACTGGGGGCTATTGAGTAGGCCTCAAACTTCCCGCAACCTCTTCCTTCTGCCTCTTGTGAGGGGACCTTCCCCCTCTATTTATACCAGTTCTTCATTGCTCCTATTGCCTCTATTCCCAATCTGTATTCCTGGTTAACCTCACTTCCAGCCCGGGGGTTGCCAAGATCCCCTGTTCTTTGAGAGGAAGGGAAATGTGCTCCCCTCACTTCTCCTGCCAGGGCAGAGAAAGGAAGTGCTGTCATCCCTGTTTCACAAAAAGAGGTACTAAGACTGAGAACAATCGAGTGGGGTTTCCAAGGTAATTTCTTTTAGGTCTTAAGCTCCAAAGCCATGTTAGGAAGTTACAGTTAAAAGGTTCCTCTGGTTTCAGCTGGGTGGTCAGTGTGTAAGTGCAAAGAGATGGCTGAGCCTTCTAGGACATGGCGTTTGCATTTCTGTATTCACAGCATGAAGAGCTTGAATCACTTTTGTATTAGCTCATTTGTTAATAAATCTCAAACTTCATGGCACTGCTGGCTGAAATCATCAGTGTGTGGGCAGAGACAAACTTCCAAACCAGCATCCCCTCCTGCTAGGTACGGTACAAACATCACCAGGAAGACACAGCACAGCCTAACTGTTTCCTCTCTGGATCCCACAGGTGAAGCTGATTGACTACATCCACAGACAACGGCAATGCAAGCTCAGCGTGCCCCTCAATGACAGGACAGCAGAGCTCAACAGCTACCCCAGGTTCCATGACTGGTTAGACATTGTCAACGTGAGGAAAGAAGTTGTACAGGTAAGGGGAAAACAACACTCTGCATGGACCCTTCCTGCCCTTTCAAGACATTCCCAGCTGCCTGCTGGGTTAAAGGTAGTTTTCTGAACTTACTTCCAGGCAAGGTGGGAATGTGAGGGAGGGACTGGACCACTGGAAAGGGAGCTTCCTCTCTCCCTGAAGTAGTGGTCACCCAGTGGGAATGCTGAAACATTCCCTTCCCTTTGTCCTCCTCCTGGAGTTAGGAGGAATCTTCTCATTATAGCACTGAAGCAACACCTCACCTGGATTGCTCAGTACGAGCCAAAGCTCCTTACCAGGACCTCCTCTCCTGCTGCCCGAGGATGATGCCTTAACTTCATCATTAACTGCCTTCTAGATAATAACAATCCTGTACCACACTATACTCTGCATTCAGTACTAGCCAAAAAAGGACCAAGATTTAGAAGTTTGTGCACTGACATGTCCAGCAAATGGACAAAAATGATGAGTTGTTACAGCCCACTTATTTCTAAAAGCGTACATGCCACGATTATAAATTATAAAGATCCCCAAATAAACCTCTAAACACAGACCAGCAAAGGGCATCGGAGTATGCAAGTTTGTCCCAGACTGATGGGTTTAAACTGTGTAGCCTCACACAGCACTCAGACTACAACACGGACTGCAACCTTGTAATGGTCAGGGGGATTTTGATCTGGGTTTTGGCTGGGTGGGAGGCTGTGCTCAGAAACAAGCGAGGTCTTTTCATTTTATACACACACACACAAATAAAGTCTCTACCAAAGAGCATTGCATCAGTGTAAAAGAATGGAATGAATAACCCTCCCGTGGTGGCCAGCATCAGCTGTTCATGCACACAGACCACGGCTCCTTCTGATCTTTACAATTTAATTCTTGACATGCAAATCACTGGAAGCCTCTTTACTGCACAGAATAATCTGACACTTGTGCTGGAACTGGGAATGACCAGATCAGCCCAAGCCCCAGCTCCTGTCCCTGACACTTCTGGGTTTTTTGGAAGGGAGCCTGGCATCCCATCGGTGTTTAGAGGGTTACTGGGAACTCCAGGACTGCGGGGCACTGACATCGGATTGATCCCTTGGGCCTGGGCTGGGCACGGCTGCCCCATGCTGTTCTGTCCGGGGACACATCACTTCAGTGTAACATTAATGGCAATGTAAGCAGAGCTCAGCCCACTGATGGCTAAACAAAGCAGAAAAGGCTTTTTCCATTCTTTCCCCATTTTTGGCTCTGCAGGCCGGACCAGCGTGTTCCCACTCACTCTCCTTTGATCCTTACACAAGCAAAA